GGTCAGGGGACTGAGATGGCCATGGCAGAAGCTTGGTTCTGCGGTCATCTAACCATTTTTATGTTGATTTGGACATGTGCTTAGGATCACTGTCCTGCTGGAAGATCCAATGACGGCCCAGTTTGAGTTTCCTGGCAGAAGCAGCCAAATTTTGATTTAAATGTCCTGGTATCTCATGGAGTCCATAGTGCCATGTACCCTAACGAGGTTTCCAGGGTTTTTGGAGGATAAACAGCACCACAACATCACAGAACCTCCACCATATTTTACAGCTGGGATGAGGTTCATTTCATTATATCCATCCTTCTTTTTACACCAAACCAACCTTGAATGTTTATTGCCAAAAAGCTCCATTTTTATCAGATCATAGAACATGGTTCCAGTCAAAGTTGTAGCAGAATTTTGCAAACCCCAGGCACTTACGTTTGTGGTTACCTGACAAAAAAGGCTTCTGTCTGTCATACCTTACAAATAATCTATTAGCATGAAGGTGGCATCTGACGGTGGTTTTGGAGACGTGGTAACCTCAAGATTTTACTTGCTCTTGTAATTCACCAACAGTCATCCTTGGGGATTTTTTGCCTCTCTTACGATCCTCCTCACTCTATGTGGGGGCAAAATAAACTTGGGCCCGCTTCCAGGCAGGTTTCTAACAGTTACAGTTGTTGTCCACTTTTTCATTATTGCACTAACAGTAGAAATGGGCATTTTCAGGTGAGTAGCTATTTTTAATACCCATTCCCTGACTTATGAAGGTCAGCACACTTCTCCCTCATTTGGTCTGTGTTCTCTTATCTTTCCCATGTTGATGAAGGGAATTTGGCCTCTATGTCTCCTCATGTTTGTATCCCTGTTAATCAGTAAGTCATGGATTACAGCTTGAAGGTTCCTATTCACTCCAATCAACTCAAAGATGTACAATTTACATGGAAAACATGCCTCAGTTACATTGTGTTCACTATAATTTCCAGGGGTGCCAATAATCGTGACTCAGGTTTTATTGTCAAAAAATATATATTTCTTGATGAAGATTGTATTTTTCTTTGAATAAATTTATTTCAATGAAAGGTTGGATTTCTCTCATGTTTTCAGTGTGAGATGAAGCTACTTCACCAAAAGGTGGATTTTTTTCTGACCCTTTTTACAAATCGTTACAAGGGGTGCTGATAGACATGTAACGATGAATCGCTATTCGGTTAAAAATCGATGTAAATGTATGACGATTTAAACCGGCTGATGTGGAAATGAATCACTACTTTAGGAGTACTTCACGGTACTTGTGAAATACTGATAACACACAAATAGCACAGCGAACATGCTTCAGCATGTCCACCGGCATCACAGTGAGCTGAGCGAGGATTATTAAAAGGGCAAACCAGGCTAAAAAGCTGCACATGCAAGCCTTAGTGTATTTATTTGAAGATTTTTTTTTATTTAAAAACAGTATTTTATTCAATTTCAGTTGCAATGTTAAGAAGAGGACACATTTTGCACAGTTTATAAAGAAAAATAAAGGAATAAATTTGTCTGCAGCTCATTCTGTTAAAAAATCGTGAGAAAATCCTATCGTGAACTCAGAATCGTGAATCGTATCAAATCGTGAGTTGAGTGTATCCTTACATCCCTAGGTGCCAATAATCGTGGAGGGTACCGTGTGTGTGTCTGTGTGTATAGGGTTATATATATATACACAGTACTGTGAAAAAGTCTTAGGCAGGCAAAGAAAATAATGTTTAGATTATCTTCGTGTTGGTGTAAAACTATGATATTATTCCTGTCAAAGTGTGTCAGCTTTGCCATTGTTGGTGAAATTTAACAAAATCATGGAACGGCTGAGGTGCCCCTGAGGAGAGGTTTGGGAACTGAAGCGGCGTTCATCTAGCCACCCAACTAGATATCAGTAACTTTTTAGGAAACAGAAGAAATTATTATTAGTTTTTATTGTGTTACTCTTAATTTGCATATGTTATAATGTGAAATTGTGATTTTTGTTCTAAGCCAAAGTACACTTGCTACCCAGATAAACAGCTTTAAACATTTCTTTGGACTGCCTAAGACTTTGGCACAGTACTGTGTGTGTATATATATATCCATCCATTTCTGAGACTCTACCATAAGGTTTATAGGGCTGGTGGGGGGGCTTTGGCAATTTGGACAGTCTAATCTGTATGTTGCCCATTTGTTGTATTTTCTTCCCCATGTAATTCAAAAATGAAAAAGAATTTGTTACATAAAATATTCTGTTTTCAGGATTCTTTCTTCAATTTGTTTACCTATAGAAATTCTGTTGCGTTCTAAAAATGTTTACTTATTTTGCACTATATGTTCTGTCTTTGCATGTTACCTTTGTTTTACATTGTATGTTTGTATCTGTGCACTTTGCTGCTGTACGCAAGAGCATTTGTCCCTGGGATCAACAAATCATCTCATTTTATACTCAGGGGATGAGTGTCACATTTATTATGATCTGAATCAACAAGTATTTAAGTATCACCTTTGCCAAAGAAAGTAATATGTTTTTTTGTCTGTTGATACTGGTTCATTACTAAGAGGCACGGTTCCATTAAACATGTTAAAACTGAACCCCTAGTCTCAGCATGATGTAATGAGTCCATGAGAATGCATTTATTTGTTATTAAAACAGAAGCGTCCGTCTCAAAAGACAACAATCTATTGTCGGGTCATTCTGTAATGAATAGATGGCAGTGAACACGCAAGGCTGCTTTTTCCAGCTCTATGCTGAGGACTGAAATTTAAAATGCACTTTTCAACTAAATAGCTTCCAACTCCACCTCACAGGAATTCAGGTTTTACAGTAATCCTCATCCAAGTACCTCAGATGTTATTTATATAAAACACAGACAAAATTTGTGTTTAAATTCTCAAAGATGATGGAATTTGTAAAAGGAAAAAAATTATGCATTCATTATAAAGTTTCTTTCCTCATATCTTGTCTGTGTCTCTGTGCCATTTGACTGAGAGTCTGAGTGTTTTAAACAGTGTTTGTTTAAATGCACATTTACCTTTGATCTGTAGGAAAAGGTCCCTCTCTGAAGTTGAGTGGATTCTGCATTGACTTGTCACTCTTCAGGGAAACACAGCTGGGTACAGGGGAGTCTGCTCTCTCCATCAGGACACTGTGGGCAGCGAGAGGAAACAAACCCTCATGGTATAAATATAATTCATACAATGGGGACGGCATCACACTGCTGTTTAGCTTCTGCTCTGCCTTCATGTACTTTGATATGCTGGGAAGCTCTTGATGTAAACAGGGTAGTTTACAGACAGCTATAATGTAAATAAATTGCCTGACCTATAATATGAATTATTGTAGGAAAGGTTTAGTATCATTGTTAAAAGCTACATCATTAGACAGGTCTTTGGTAGTGTTTTC